TTTACAAATTGTAATATGTCCACGAAGATGATCTATGATCCGCCGCAGCACCAGATTTACCTGGTTCATTACATCTGTTATGTTCTTTGCGAAATTAGTCTCTTAAGTTGCTCCATTTTACTCCTGCAGTAGCTATATCCATTTCCAATGCTACTTCAGCTCATAGCCGTTTTGCAATATCTCGATTATATTGTAACTTTTTGAGTCTTTGTCCCACAAACACAACCAATTCATTTTTCAATATCCATATGTAAGCCGCACAATCATCTGCTTAGAAATCCCAACAAGTCCGGAAGTTGATGTTTATCGGCCGTTGTGTAGTGATGTATGTCCCCGCTTTATTTTAAATAAGTTTCATTTTATCGGCGGATAACGGCCGAGCATAGTTCGGCCGCTAACGGATTAAGTGTACGCAAGCCATAACGCGGCGATTTTGGTGTGGGGCCGTTCTTCTGACACGCCCTGTACCTCTGATCCTTCGTGTATGGCCTTCCTGGTTCCATGACCGACAACAAAAGACGGTATTAAGACTTCTGCGCATCCAGCCTCACACAAGCCCACCATTCGCCCTCTATAAAACTCGCGGAGCAGTTAACTATTTTTTCGCCTTCTCACTCTAGGCATGATCAGCTTTAAGCTGCGTACTGTGCGATGATCAAATACCAATTATAGCTACAAACACAACAGAGCTATCTACTACTTACTTTTTTGTAAGAACCGACCATATCATAAAAAACACTTCATCGATATATTTAAAAAGACCCTAACTTAATTACACTTAGGCACAATTTCACCAACATTAATATTTAACGGTCCCTTGGACCAATGGGAAAATACCTTATCGAAATGCAATTTGACGGAAGCTCTCGAAGGTCTCTGAATATCAGTGATTTCTATTAAAATATCGAATAAAATCGTGAAAATTCGACTGTATTATAAACAACATCAATTTTTGATTCCAACATGATGCTTTTGTACAGAGAAAACAGGACAACTTTCACGTATTTTGATTTCTGTTATAAATTTACATTTAACAATCAGTTATCCCCAAATCCAATGGGAATGCGGCAAATAACAGGTCGATTTTCTAGCTGTTAAATTTAACAGCAGGTTTGGACGTTTGTTAATACATGGCAATCTCGAATTTGTTAGTTGAATATACTGAGTGTTTATATGTTATCATTATAGCTACATACCTGTTGAATAATATGGATTTGTCTGTATTTTGGAATAAAATAGAATATAAAATACATTCCAACCAATTCCTCATCTTTCTTTACATCATAATAGTAATCATTCGTTAACTTATTGGTTGGTATCTTCCAAAACAAAGAAATTAAGCACTAAGAACTCCGAACGTAAACTCACTCCACTCTCGGAATGTCCGGGTCGAGGGTGGGCTCGAGGGAACAACATCGAAGATAAAATCTGTTTTTCGAACATCTGCGGGATTAACAGCAACATTGATGCTGTTCATCACTACCTGCAATCCAATCGTCCCGCCGTGCTTTTCTTGGCGGAGACAAAAATCTCAGAGTCTGCACCGATTAACCATCTTAGCTTCCCAAACTACGAGGTGCACTCCAACCTGAGAAAGAACGGGGGAGTTTTGGCTTTTGTCCGCAGCAGCCTTTCCTGCTCCAGCGATGTTTCTTTGGTATCAGACCGGAAAGACATTATGTGGCTTCGCCTCAACTCCAAAATATGACCCAAATTTATTTGCCGCCTTTATCGCTCTCTCTCTCTCTCTCTCGGAACATAACTGGGATGACCTACTCGAATACCTCGCCGTCCAGATCGACTTCCTGAACATCAACCACCCCGCTTCAGGGGAAGTTCTTCTCGGTAATTTCAATGCCCATAATGAGCTTTCACTGGGCTCAAACAAGATCGATGTAGCAGGTCGTGCAGTCGAAGCGTTCGCTCTTACCCAAGGGCTGACCCAGCTGGTGACGAGCCCTCCCTTTTTCCCACGCGTCTCGTCACACGCCTGTAGCCTGCTGGATCTCTTTCTGACCACGCATCCTGTCTCTTACAGCACTTCTGTCCTGTCCCCCCTGGGTAACTCAGACCACGGTGTTGTGGAGGTTAGGTTTCGGTCAGAACCCGCTGTGGCAGCAGAAACTCGTACAGCCCGCAAAACTTGGCATTACGGACATGCCGACTGTGGAAGTAGATTTCCTTGGAGAGATGCGTTGGCAGCCTGTTCTTCGATAACTGAAATTATCCACGTCGGAATGGAGGAATACATCCCTCACACAGTGAAAGTGCCTAGACCAGGGTGCAACGGCTGGCAGAAGATCAAGGCACACATAACCTTCTTACAAAACCTCAGTGTAGAGAACAGACAAGCCGACGTCGAGTCCAGAAATAAATATAATGAAGCGGTTCGCAATGCCAAAAACCAGCATGATATAAAAGTTAGGCACAGGGCAATGTCGCAGCGCAATGACAGTCGGTCCTTCTGGATGCTGGCCAAGCAGATAGAAAAGTAGCCTTCCACCACTTACGTGTCAGTATGAAACTATTGTATTCAACTCAAAGGCCAAGGCGGAAGTGCTAGCCAAGATCTTTGCTGCCAACTCCACCATGGACGTCCCCCCCAATGCCTAAGTGCCGTCAATTCAAAGGGTTCCCTACACTATGCGGGAGGTAACATTCACCGTAAGACTAGTGCTCTTGTCGCTCTACATCAACAAAGCTTCTGGTCCGGACTTGATTCCTGCCATTGTACTAAAGATGTGTGCAGCGGAGCTTGCTCCAGTTCTTTCGCGTCTCTTCCAGATATCTTATGAATCCGGTAGCTTCCCAGAAAACTGTAAATTTGCTCATGTCCAACCCATCCCAAAAAAGGGATCTACGACCGACCCTTACAACTTCAGGCCTATAGCTCTGCTTTCTGTTATAAGTAAGGTGATGGAGAGGTGCATAAATCGCGAGCTTCTGGACGACCTCGAACGTCACAGCTTGATTAGCGACAGGAAGTTTGGTTTCCGGACCAACGATCCACAGGGACCTCCTAGCCTACGTCACTAAATTATGGAGTAAACTCATCCATTCTTATGGTGAGGCTCATGTCGATCAGCTGTGGCACACTGCCCTCTTAAGCAAACCTCCATCCTATGGCCTCCCAGAACAGCTTAGCAGATGGGTGGCTGACTTTATCTCTGGCTGCAAGATATCCGTCGTAACTGACGGGTTCTTCTCTTCGCCCCACAACCTCAACGCGGGTGTTCCCGAGGGATCGGTCTTGGCTCCGCCACTGTTTCTTTTACATATCAACGACCCCCTTCCCTGCACGATCAACCCAGTCCACAGCTTCGCTGATGACAGCACTCTACATGCGGGAATTCAGAATGACAAGCCGATCTCTGCCGCTGAGTTAGAGAAAAGAAGGCTAGCGACGACTTTCTCTCTGAAAAAAAGACCTGGACCGGTATTCTCGTTCTTTGGCGTGAAAGCGATACGTTTTCAAAACGCTTAGCGCCTCATGTCGTACGGCAAAGCGCTAAGCCTTCGGTTTTGGTATTCACGTTGCTGTGCGAACGCTTCGGGTTCAAAACGCTTGGCACATATTGGCAACGGTGGTTGTTCCAGTGTTACCAACATATTTGTCTCCAATGTCACCAATGTTATATAACCACAGTACTAAAAAAGTTTCTATTTCTGGCATTATGATGGTTGTCACTTGTCAGATGCGTTTTGTCAGTGTTACTCGAGTTTCGAAATGTCTCGTAAACAAATTTCCATTTTACAAAAAACTATGCTAATTGATTTCCTGGAAGACCACCCGGAATTGGTGTCTCAAAAACAAACAAACCAATACACCAGCGCAGACGCCCGCAAGTTATGGGTGGAGTTGAGCGAAAAGTTAAATGCAATTCCTGGGGCCACTAAGCAATGGACTGAATGGAGAAAGGTACATGTAACATATTTGCAACTTTGTATTGAATTAATATGCTATTGACGGACATAGATCCATAGTTAGGAATGGTACTTCTGTTGTAATAACGAATTCACTAGAATACTAGGATCTATCGTTAAAACACGGCAATAGATTCTCGAGTCAGTTTGATTGTTACTCAGAATATTTGTTGTATATGAAGAGGGTCGGTTTTTAATACTCCAGTTTTCCTTTTCTAGACCTGGACAGATATGAAAACCAGAGCAAAAAGGAAGAAGTCAGAAAATAAAAAGGAAGCTAGCCAGACCGGAGGTGGACCAAGCTCGGCGGAGAGCTTGAATGAAATCGATGACAAAGTCTTGGAAATAATGGGTATGGTCATAATTCTTATATGGGTGACTAATATTTTAGTCATTCGTTAAATGTTTTTATTAGATGACAGTTTTTTTCTTAATATTGATAATCAAAGTATGGATCTACTGTGATTTAAGTGTTGATGAGATTTATTATTCATTTAAACAATGTAAATGATTTACATAGTTGTGCCTATCTTGCTCCATTGTAGTATCTCCATTACTTTCAGTAAATGTAAAAGCTCTTTTGTATTCTAGGGGGAGAAATCTTAATTGAAGGGCTCCAAGTGCCAGAATTAGGATTATTATACACCTTACCGAAAGAAGCTGAGGTTGGCGAAGTGCCTGTATGCAAAAGTTATCCTGTACATGATAATGATGACAAGGACAAGGAAAACCTGTGTCCAAATAATATTAAAGAAAAGAACCTTAAACGCGTGAGACCACCACATGGCACTAAAAGGTGTAGGCAGACAAATTCAATACCATCATCAGTCCACGATTTAGTTGCAGCACAACTGCAACTAAATCAAATAAAGGAAAATTATTATAAAAAAAAAATTGAAGTTTTAGAAAGAATTGCTTCTAGTTCAGAAACAATTGCTAAAAAATATGCATCATAGCTTCTTTTGTTTGTTTTTGTCTGTATTTTTATTTTATATATTTTTTATTATCAGAGTATAAGGTTTTGTTGTGATGAGATGTGTGGTATAGTTAAAAATAAAGTTATCTTTGTTCTAGACTACTCTTTTATTGTGATAAATATACTATAGTGTATCCATTCATTTATTTCAAAAATAAGTTCTCGCTAGGAAATTTTGTATGTGTCGACCCCTCTCCAAAAAATTATTATGTGGCAAGTTGCCCCTCTCTTCTGCCAAGGCATCACTGAAGTTGTTACCATCACCTACATCTTCCTGATCATTATATAATGGAATATTATTTTCTAAGCATAAGTTGTGCAACACGGCACAACTGTTTACGATTTTTGCACAAGTTTCTGGTGCATAATGTCAAACTCTATCTTTCAGTAGACACCTAAATCTGTTTTTTAATAACCCAAAGCATTGTTCTATGGAAACCCGGATATGCTTAATTTTTTTATTGAATCTTGATTCTGGAGTGTCTTGAGGTGGTTCTGGTAGGTAAGCGGTTATCAACCAGGGGCGTAAAGGGTATCCAGAGTCACCTTAAAAGAAAATACTATCTTTTAGTAGATCCAAGGGTACAACATATAGACATATTTCACCTAGTAAGTAGAAGCTGCCCATGTATTCTTCAGACAATGTTCTCAAAAATTCCCCAACTCGTGACTGACTCCATATAAAACTATCATGGGTGCTGCCAGGAAAGCGACTGTTTACGTTCATTATTTTCAAATTTTCATCACATATCTGCAATAAACAAGTGTCAAGTATGCAGGTTGACTTTGGTGCAAAATTTCAGTTGTAATCTATGCAGAGTCAGAGAAAATTTGATTAGGGGTTGACGCTTTGTGCATTGAAAGTTTCTTTATATGAGAAATTAAAATTATTCCATGCATTTATGGATGTAAGGGTAGCTTACCATCTGTACATTGAGGGAATGGTAATGTTTCCTATTGATATATATATATGTTCATTTTCGATTGGGCACACAATACCTATGTGAGTGCAATCAATACAGCCTATAATTCCAGGTACCTGGTACTTTGCGAAAAATCTAGACAAAATAAAATCAATATAGGTACAGCTTGACCATCAAATTTTGATCATCTTATTGAATAGCTTTGAAGAAACATAGTGTAGGACAACATCATGATAGTTCCTCATATATATTTATAATTCTAAATTGAAATATACCTTTCTCTGGTGTTGGTTAACTCTTGAATTGTGTTTGGAAAATGGACATATCTATTCAATATTTCTGGAGTGTTGAATGCTCCCAACACCTCATGTAAAGTTCTTGAAATCGATGGCTGGCTGAGAGTTACTGTATGATTTCTGCCTACATCCAGCTGGTAGCTTCCACTTGCAAAGAAACGCAAGGCAGACAGTATCTAAAACATTAATGTACACTAGGTTGTTATAATGCAAATATCACTATTTTATCAATCGTATATATAAGATTTTTTGTCAATCTTGGAAGTACAAGTACTTCATTATTATTGTTACTTACCTTCGTGCGATTACTTATCGCGTGCGATATAGGATGTACTGGTAAAAATGGCTGTAACATTTCTTCCAAATTTTGCACGTCCTGTTTTCGCAGACGATATAATTTCACAAAATTAAAGTCGGAGAATTCGAACGGATCATCGGCATTGAATCTTTGCCTCTCCACATGCTCAATAATCCGGATTAAATTAACCCCAGCAAACTGATATGCCATTACTAGGTATACTTTGGATATAATTATCTAAATATGAGGGCCACAGTAGCCTCAATTACAACAAAAATCACGATCTAAATAAGAATTCTGACAGCAGTGTCAGTACTCATAACGAAAGCGATAAGCAAAACACTGACCACTTGGTAGTCGTTTTGAAAGCGGCAAGCGCTTTTCAAAAAGCTGAGCGTTCGGGCAACGGGAATACCATATTTTGGCAGGTGCTTCGAAAGCAAGTGCAAATGACGTCATATTCGCTGAGCGACTGGAAAACGCTTAGCGTTTTGGAGAACGAGAATACCGGTCCTGGAGGCTATCACTGCTTGGGGACGCAACAATCTTTTACAGTTCAATGCTTCCAACACACAGTACTGTACTTTATCGAACAACAAGCGTCCTTGCGCTCACCTGATTCCGATAGATGGCCGAGTTCTGCCAAAGAGCCATTCATTTCGGCTGGTCGGGGTCCAGATCACCGAGGACCTGATTTGGCACGAACAGATCTCGGTAATAGCTGCAGCCGCTGGGAAAAAGCTAGGCTATTTTTTTAGGGGTACGAAGTTTTTTCCTCCGCATGACCTTTTCGCTCTATACAAGGCCCAGATAAGGCCTAGCCTCGAGTATTGCTCACACGTTTGAGGTGCTGCCGCCCCGACTACATTATAAATGCTCGATGCTGTCCAGAGGAGGGCGGTCCGACTGATCGATGGCTCTTCTCTAACAGACAGTCCCAGGACTCTTTCGCACCGGCTTTACTCCTCAGAGCTCTCTTCCATGATGCCGCCGCGCGATATGCCTGCCAGACAGACCTGTCTCTCTTTGGCGTCCCATCCTAACTGTGTCGAACTTCGTACATCCAGAACTGGCCGATACGACCGCTGCTTTGTCCCGAGGGTGTCGAGATTGTGGAACAATCTACAAGAGTTCTGTTATCCTTAGGCAGTTCAAAAATCGTATTAACAAAATTTCTTTGGGATCATCATAGCAGCCGCGGCATTCCGACATATAGGCTTCTGCCTGCGCGGCTGCTTCGATATAAAAAAATTAATTTCCTCAAAGCAATAAAAACATTATGTCCTCTCCATCCTAAAACACAGATAATATGTGTAAGACATGTCAATCCCTACGTCTCCGTGATGCATAATGCAATTGCTATGACCATTGACAAAAAATTTCTCACAAGTAATGTCTTTCAAGTCCAAAAATCATAAAAACTAATAATGTTTATTGTTTGATTGCCTTTTTGACTGGCGGGGAGATCCATCTGTCACTCGCAGGGTTGCCAAGTCTAACGACGATCACGTCTCGTGGTGGAGGGTGCAAAATGAACCTTCATCATTTGCTGGTTTTGAATTTAAAGTAGAAATACAAACATAGTATGATAGTTGGAGCTATACTGATATCAGGTCTGAAAAATCTGAAGCAAAGTGAATCTCAGGCTTTTGATTTTCCCATCACTAGTGTGATGAAATGAAAATTTGCCCCTTCTTGGATTACTTGAAATAGTGATGTGCCTTCTAGTTCGTTTCATTAAGTTGCGTTCAGTTGTAGGAACTAGTTCGTGAACAAACTACTCTATGCAACAATACCACAAAAAATATATATAGAGAAACAGAGCAGATATTCCAGCCTTTCAGTGGAGATAACGTAAAAACGACTCAATTCATATATTTTAACCGTTCCAATACATTCCACTGATCGCAAATCTATTCTCCCATCACTATCATTATAAGACATTAATTTCAAATGTCAATTCCGATCATCTTTGTCTATTCTCCTTCTCCAACGTCACTGTATTCTATGTTTTGTGGTCACTTGTTTTGTTATTTGTGAAAAAAAGGATTTTTTTAACAACAAATTTCCATATAAAAAGTGACCCCTCAAGATTTTTTTTGTGCAGAATTGACATATAAATCCGAACACCCAGTTTAAATGGTTTTATTTTAATAAAAGTTGGTGAATGTATTTACCTTACTGTAAATAACAAGTGAAAACATTTTCAGCCTTATCAGTTGGACATTCCGGTTTTTATACTGTTTTTTAATTCACTAACGCTCTAAAAATGAAAATTTCAGCCGCAGTAAAGAATCAACGTTGGCGGATTTTGGTTCTTGACATACGGCCGCATAGTGGGACTTCGGGAAGCTGGACTTTCTTTTCGGGCAATTGCAGTTAGAGTGCAAAGGAGTGTAGACACTGTGGCTAGGTGTTGTCAGGCATGGCTTCGAGAAGGCCGTACGCAAAGAGCAAGGGGCACTGGACGCCGCCGTAGAACAACAGACCGTGAAGATCGCCGCCTAAGATTATTGGCCTTAAGGGACCGTTTCTCCACTACCAGGTCCATTGAAAATGAATGGTTTGCAGAACACGGAAGACCTATTGGCATGCGAAGTGTTTACCGACGAATGAGAAGTTTTGGCTTGTTTTCATACCGGCCACACTAGGTCCTCCCTTTAACTCGAGAACACCGACGTAATCGCCTTGAGTGGTGCAGACAAATGTCACTCTGGGATCAGGAATGGAACAGTATTGTCTTTAGTGACGAGTCTCGATTTTGTTTAGGCATGCACGATGGTCGTGCCAGGGTTAGAAGGCGACGTGGTGAAAGGAGGAATCCACAGTTTTTTGTTGAAAGACATGTTCATCACACTGCTGCAGTTATGGTTTGGGGTGCTATAGCTTATGGTTCCAGGTCACCTTGTTTTGCGATGCCACCTAACTCAAACGATCTTACTCCGCAGCGAGCTCCAAGTAACGTGACGTTTTTACGATTAGTTTTTAGAATTCCAATCCTGCTGAAAATTGGGATTAGAATGTGATGTAGAGAATTTGCAATCGGATGTTGAAAAATGTGGTGCAATTAATTTGTTATCATTCGAATGAACTGGATGGGGTCTGGCTGTTTTCCGTCTCTGCAACCATAAACGTTAATGCTATTTAATACTTTTTTGTAATAGTCAGTACGGTATAGGCCTAGTCAGTGGAAACAGGCGAATATGCATCTACTGAAAAGCAATCCGATGGAATATTACTAATTATGTAATATATCTGCTTCGTAGTAGCTGTATCAGTTGCATATACGTTGACGCAGAGTGTTCGAACAATAGACGGAGATATTTTGGAGGGTGATTCCTTGTTAAAAAATACGAAAAAAAGTTTCTACGAACCGGAAATGTAGAGTTTTTAAGATATGACGAATGAGAAGTTTTGGCTTGTTTTCATACCGGCCACACTGGGTCCTCCCTTTAACTCGAGAACACCGACGTAATCGCCTTGAGTGGTGCAGACAACGGTCACTCTGGGATCAGGAATGGAACAGTATTGTCTTTAGTGACGAGTCTCGATTTTGTTTAGGCATGCACGATGGTCGTGCCAGGGTTAGAAGGCGACGTGGTGAAAGGAGGAATCCACAGTTTTTTGTTGAAAGACATGTTCATCACACTGTTGGAGTTATGGTTTGGGGTGCTATAGCTTATGGTTCCAGGTCACCTTTAATCTTCATCAGAGGTAACATGAACGCGCAGCGTTATATCCACGAAGTTCTAGAACCCCATCTTTTACCCTATCTTGACACCCTGGCAGACCCAACTTTTCAACAAGATAATGCCCGACCACATGTTGCAAGAGTCACAATAGACTTCTTTCAACATAATGATGTCACATTGTTACCATGGCCACCAAGATCTCCCGACTTATCCCCAATTGAGCACGTGTGGGATATGATGGGTAGGAGATTGCTCAATTTGCAACATCCTCCTCAGACTCTAGAAGCACTTCGAGAGGAGTTGGTGGTTGCCTGGAATGAGATACGACGGGAGGATATTGACCACCTGATCAGAAGCATGCCTAGGCGCGTTGGAGAATGCGTAGCACATCAGGGTGCATGCACACATTATTAAAGCAGTGCTATCATTTTGAAATTTTTACCATTTACTTATTATGCTTCATTAAGTACTTATACAAAATTTGGTAAAATAAAACCATTTAAACTGGGGGTTCGGATTTATATGTCACTTAGTATACATATTACACTATCGTGTACACGTTAAATCTGCACTAACCCCCAAATACGTGGTAATGTTGAGTGTATCATGTTCCATCACCGATGGTGCAACTGATTATACAATGAAATCAAAACAAAAAACTGCAACTGCAATTGTATGTATAGTATATGAATGTTGACAATGTTGAACAGTTTAGGACCAGTGGTATTAAAATATCGTTGAGGAACTGGAAGGAAGTGTATGAATATTTTGAAATGCAACACTAACTAACAAAAATTCCAGTGAAAAGGCTTTTTCATGTAAGGGTTTGGAAGTGCAAGGTTGCAAATGTAGGATAAACTATAAACACACGGTAGGTGATTCAATCACATATGGATTACAAAAGTTGCAATAAACATGGAGAAACCTTCAGCTAAACTGAAAAAAAGGGATTTTACTCAGACATCAAGCATTTTTTTAAGTTTTGGCTCAGTTTAACATAATTTCATAATATTCATTAAACTGAAAACATTTCAACGGCAAGCTGTCACTTCATATTTTACAGTGTTTTGTTTTGAATACCTTGATGCTATTTGCTGCCAAAAATTTGCCGGAGAGATCTTGGGGCTAATTGGGTATATTCAACGGTACTCGTACCCTACTGGTGCAGAATAATGGTTTGTGAAAACCACCTTTAAACACTTAAACAAACACACATCTAATAAAACTTTGTAATGTACTAGGTGATATTTTGTCTATGTCACTTGGTATATATGGATGATAAGAGCAAAGTGGACTGGGGCATCAGTGAACAGCTTTTATGTAGTAAGTTCAACATGGATTGATAGATTTTGGATAATATGATAAAGTAACGTTCATGCATGGATCCGTTTTTGTTCCATAGCAAATGTATTCATATCTTAATTGTAATGGAAATGCAGGTTTAAGACACTCCAAAGATGCTGTGCTCCTACTACCACAACCTTGCCATATCTGATACCTCTGAAACATAATCTGAGTCTAAATTTAACTTACAGCCGCAGTCAGGAGTCAGTCCAATAAGGATTTCATCGGATTTTCAAGAAAGGCCGCTCTCTGTGCTGACCTTTGGCTAGCTTTGAATCCGGATAATATATTCATCGGCTTTTTGTTAGAGTAGAGCTGGGTTCGGGCAACCGGTGTCTCTCCATTCTCCAGCGGATTTTCAGCCAGGATTCTATAGTCCAGACGATTCAGCTTTCCTTGAATGTCGGTAAAAACTATTTCCTCCGTCACAACTAACCTGAGAGATGGCCATTATTTACCGCATTCCTGTAAGGAATATTTATCGAAATAAGACAGCACAAAGCGCGATTTATTACCAGAATCGACCACTTCAAAGGTGTATAGCAGCTATAGGTTGGAAGATATTCTTTCCGCGTTTGATAGCCGAGTCAATACAATGACCGCTAGAGGCGAAGAATTCTGGTGGTATAGTAAATATGGTCTACTCGTGATTGAGCAACTAAGCTGCTCCTTATGTCCATCAGACCGCAGATAGCCAACAATGGACAGCTGTTCCGTGCTTTTTGTCAACTCATCAGCTTTGTGCAAGCTTGAGTTCTGGAACAACATACGGAAGCATAACCTCTTCGAACCCAGGGTATCATGTACATACGTATGATACTCACTAAAATACCTCAATATTTCATTTTGCCCCGCCACGCTCTGCTTTAATATCGCGTGTATCAAATATCATATCCAAGTGTGGACGGAATACTACTCATAAACAAATACATTTTGGGAAAATCTATTTATGGGATGGTATACACGACATTTGAGGGCACATTTCTAAAATATTGGCCAGTATACAGGGTGTCCCTATTTCAACCTACATATCAAAGTTGTGATTTTTCAAATGGAATGCCTCAAATTTTATTGCATATTGTTTTGGTAATTAGTTACTGAGATATAAGGTGTCTTGTCTTGTTTTCGAATTTTAATTTTTGCTCATACAGGATGGTCAAAAACGCAAATTGTAGTTTTTCTCAAAAATTTCAAATGCATCACCTGTATATTTATGCAAGTTTGGATTCAATTTTATTAGCATGTCTTCTACGGAACGGCTTAATATCTAATATGGCATCATCCAAAAATTCGTATTCGGTAACGCAATTTTCAACCGGTTGCCCAACTGTCATTGAATGCAATTTGAGTGCAGTTTTTGAGACCGAAACAGCTCCACTAACAATCGAGTAGCAACCGGTGGAACTAAAGTGATATACGATGATAAACAATCGTCGTGTTTATAAATCGAAAAATGATAAATACATTTTGGATCGTGATTGTGAATTTAAAATTAACTATGGGACCCAGTTTTGTTGAAAATTGAACACGTACGTAAATAATACGATGGTCTGTTATTTAAAATGAATGTCTGTGTGAGCCGCAGATGTAAGGATGTTTACATAAGTCAAGAGTGGACCCTTGAGGCACACTTAGTATAGACACACAGTCATTTGTCGACAAATAGATGACACAGTTTCACATACATTAGCCTTGAAGACTTATCTCAAGACAGAAAGAGCGATGCCAAATAACGCGAGGGTGAAAACAGCTTATTGAAAAGTGCCAGATGTTTCTCTAAGTCAATCAGCACTATATAGTTCTAGATGACTGCTTGTTCACTAAAGGCTGCAAATAGATCAGAAAACGTCTAATTGTGTTTAAGATTTCGTCTGACTAGGAACCGTTTGTGTTAGTTTTTTAAAATGAAATACAATCTCAACATTGCAAATCGATGAGGTACTTGTCTTTGCAGAAATTCACCCTAATTTAGCTAAGGACAGTGTTGGGATTGGAGGGAGATCAGAGGAGACAATTAATAGAAAGTGGGACGAATTAGCGATATGTCTGAATACCCATCGATCTGGAGCTACACAAAATGGACAATGCTGGAGAAGGGTGAGTTTATGTTACATTCTGCTATTCATCCTTTTGTCATCGCTAAGTCATAATTTTTATAATTGTGCTGAATCTTATTTTTGATTATAAGATTACAACATTTTGGTATAGTCATTATTCTGTTGTATCCCTCTTTTCATTAGGTAAGTTCAAAAAAGTTGTAGAAAAAAATGCAAAGTTCATTAATCGAAAATTATTTTTAACGGTGTAACAGCACAATTGTTCCCAAAGACTACCCTTTCACAACATTTTATCAAAAACTTTTTTATTTAAGTAACTTGAGAAACGATGACGTTTATTCATTTTTGCAGTAATTCAATTCTTGTTGGACTAGACTTTATATGAAACTCTTTTGTACTCTACTGGTAGAAAATAGTTTGTTTAATTCAATGTATTTGTATTTTTCCGAACAGTTGCTATCATCTTTTAATATTTGCAAACATAGCTTACACAGATTCCATAGGTAATTTTCTTTGATTAGTACTGTAGGTTATAATAAGGCATTTTGTTCCATGTTTCATATGGTTTTATTAATGTACTAATACAATAATACTCTTTTACAGTATTGGATAGACCTTAAACATAGGATACAATCTAGAGCTGCACAATATAGGCAGGATGCTACAGGTACTCTCGTGGAGGGTGCTAATGTTGATAACCTATCTGAAGTAGATATGGCCATATTGGGAACAGCAGCAGTATTTAGAGATACTGAACTTCAAATTCCATTCAGTGTAAGTACTTAACTCCTGGATAAATTTAAATGGGATTAATTTTAATTAACCCTTAACTGGTATCGTCATTTTTACGTACGTAACTGGTATCGTCGGGTCAATTTTGACCCGACGATACTTTAAGAAGCTGAAGCTACCAACTTCCGAAATGCTATTACTGATCAGTTGTTAGCCTAATATACTACATGTTTGAACAAATAAAGCATTCGTACATTCAAACTGTTTATTGTCCAAAATCAAAACAAAATACTGCATCTGAAAATGAGTAATGCAATATAATTTACGAAATTTCAACTCAAGTATGAATTTATCAAAAAACTAACATAATGGGCCATTAAACAACATATTTGGTCTTTATATTCTATAGCGAAAAAACAAATACTGTCTCGTATTAGAAAACGTGCAATAACGTTTTCATAGCCTATCACTCACATTTGGCACTTTCCACATAACAATGTAGCTGCGCTGTGAACTTTACACACGTGCTGGTTACACTTATTACACAGATCGTAGAATATTTATTGTCATTGTGAGACGGGCACATGTAACACCTACGTCGTTTTTTTCCTTTAAGAACTGCACAAGGATCAAGAACTCTGGGCTGAGAAGTGGACGGCTGACTTTCATTCGTCGGCGTCGTCGTGTCGTCACATTTCAGGATTCTTTGCATGACTGAGCGAAGCTCCCTAGGAAGCCTTGGTTCCGATAACGTCGTCTCACATGAGGTTCAATTAGAGTTTGACCTAGGTGAACAATAAAATTCCGTCGTCTCATAGAATTTTCAGTCCCAGACTGGAACAAAATAAAGGAATTTACAGAAGCTATATTCATAATAGCATACCAAATAGCACACGGCCACCTTCTTGTTCTCCGACCAGTATTGTAATTTGCACATTTCTGATCTAGTGCATCAACTCCCGCCTTTGTGAGGTTATAATATAAAATCATATCAGGCTTCTTTGATTCTTCATCTATTTTGTTATCATGGTGCATAGATGACACTACCAGTACGTATTTATTTGGTTTTGGAACGTAGGACACTAAAGTTGTAGTGCCAGTAAACACAAACTTAGAAGTACCTGGGTCGGTTTTCTTATTTGGGACTACATATTGTGGTATTTGTGTCTTATTTTTACGCATCGTGCCGACATAAGTCAGTTGATTTTTGCGCAATTCTTCAACTAATTCTATTGATGTGAACCAGTTATCTGCCGTGATATTTCTGTTCGTATTCTTGACTGGATCAATTAGGGATATGACAGTTAGGGTAGGCACTGACAGCTTTCTTGGATTAGGCTGCACACTTTCTGATTTACCTGTATAGACAAAAGCATTGAGCAGGTAGTGAGTCTTTGCATCACAAAGGCATAATATCTTTAGTCCGTACTTGTTCGGTTTACTTTTCATGTACACACGGAAAGAACATCGGCCTCTAAAACCCACGAGCATCTCATCTATTGTAAGGGACTCACCCGGCATATAACAATTTTGACAGTTCTGTATGAATGTCTCGAAGATTTCACGTATGTGGCGAAATTTATCAGGCTTTCTCGAGTCTCTGGTAGAAATACTATCAAACCTCAATGCGACTAGCAAAAACATGAACCTCTTTAGGGACATCGTAGCACGGAAAATGTCTCTACCAGTGCCGTCTGATGCAAATAAACCTTCAACATCTTCATGGTTGGATTTGAAAACTGATGTCAAATAGAGCAAACCAAAAAATGCTTTCGTCTCTGCTGAATCTGTGTAACTCACAAACGAAGCTGTTGTTAGATATTTGCTGGACAATTCCGTAATTTCATCATTTCATCGGTTATGAGAAGAGACCAGTAGTTGACAGGGTTCTTATCTTGCAAATTTCTTGCCACGGGTTTTAGTCCAGGTAAATGCGTAATAATATTATGTCGTCTGGTTCGACCAGCTGTTGGAGCTCGTTTTGACCATTTGTACCTGTTCTTTCCATAAACATAGCCTATGGATGATAGTGGCAAATCTGAAGAGCTATCTGAGTCCACACTGTTGTCTACACCGCCATCAAAATCAAAGTCGCCCACAGGAACTTCTTCAGCTTGATCGGCAACAGCGTCGTCCTCGGCGTCGTCTATGGTGTATTCTTCATCAGAATCGTGATTACTGTCGAAAGTAGCCGCATCACTTATATCGCCATCATCTTCACTGTCTAAGAACAACTCACGTACTTGTTCTTCGGTATATTTCTTGCCGTCAATAACGAAAAAATCCATTGCGAAGAAAGTCCAAAACGCACACGCAACTGGTATCGTCGGGTCACATTTGACCCCAAAGCAAACAAACCTACACTTGCGACGCTCAAATTAAACTGACCTTTGCGGTATATGTGCATACGTATACTGTCTGAGAAATCACGGAACCCCCACCACATAGCTGCGAAAATCCCAAAGCTATGACGAACTGAAGGCGCGCCGGGTCAATTTTGACCCGACGATACCAGTTAAGGGTTAATGAAAAATCAGTTTATATTCTCTATCTCTATTGCCCACTTAATTAAACCACATTTAATTTGATTTTACTTCCTGGCACTCCACACCATCTTCTAACACTTGATCACAAGATAAAAATAAGTACAAAGATCTGCCTCAAATGGAAAAAATACAAATTTTTAATTTAATATTTCACTAGTGATGATCTTGTTTTAGAATGAAAAATTGCATATGAATTCAGTTTCAACTTGGTATTGCTTCATAACTTCAGATACTAATTAAAAGCTTTTTGATTTTCAGAACCAACTCCTTCATCTTCAGCTGTTGAGCCACCACCAGATATAGGATTACAAATAGCTATGCAGTGTGCTGAAGCCAGTTGTATGCAGGCAGAGAAGACAGCATTAATGCAACTTCAAAAATTTCACAAGAAATTTGGTCAAGCATCTCAAACCTTCAAACCTGATTGAAATTCAGAAAGGATAAAGTATTTTTATGATTATTGTTCACTTGTGCGACCTAATCTTTTTCATTTTAATAAAAGATATATGCACATATCAATTTACTATATTATTTCTGTCGCTGTTGTGTAACAGTGCCCTGTTTTTTTGTGTTAAAACTACTTCTCTTAAATCATTTCATAAAAATCACTGACATATTTTTTCTAATGGCACCTCCAATCCATAAATCATTTATAACTCTTAATACAGTAAAAAGTTTGTCTCTCAACATATTTTTAAGACAATAAGATGTTCTTATTGTATTTAAAATAACTGCTATACAAATTGACGAAAACAAAATAGGAGTGTCAGTAGAAAAATTATATTTGTAGAAATGCTTTTGATACATTTTCTAAAGAGAATTGGTCCGCATTAGAAATACATTTAGCGATTTGTACTAATCTTCACAAGCGTCGAAGTTCTAGGTTGTTTGAGCGATTGTGGAACACAGAGCTTTTTTTTGAAATTTTTACGATTGTATTTAGTACCATTAATGCTTAAATTTGATAAAAAGGTTGAGGGTTCTATTACAAAAAGAAGGTCAGCGGTTTTATAACTACGTTTTAAAAAGGCAGTGCTTTTTGTTACAATTTTTCTTGATCTTCGCTCAAAGCGTACTTTTAGGCTTGTTCCAAATCCTCTAAAATAGATATTTTTAAATATGGACATGTGGACATAAACCTTCCTAGAAAACTAATTCTATAAACATTAATATTTTCTTTACAGTGGTCGATAAAATCATTTTAAAGCAGAGCTATCATTAAGCATAAGCGTATGACAATGAACATTATATCAAGGAAATTTAAAATGCTCGATACAGTAGATAATACAAATTTTAATACCTCTGTGCATCGCCCTATGGTATTTCTGGTAAGACCGATTCTTAATGGATGTCCAGAGTCACTTGTAAAAATATATCTTTCATTATTACTCATCTTCAAGCAGGCTTATAACAACAATTACAACTAAAGTAAAAAAAAAAGTAAATATTAGTGCTGAAATCGGTATGTTGCCTAAAATATGTGAAATATTGAGTCTCGGACTTGTTGCTGTATTGTTGATAATGAGTCTGAGGTACTGATCTTATGATCGAATATTAACTTATTACTCTTGTTAATAGGAAATTTCAGCTTCTACAGCTATGGAATTTTTATCAGGTAATGTAAACTTCCATCTGTTGAAAATTTTAGATGTAGCATTAGTTTCTCAGTTAATGATCCATACAATTTTGATATGCAATCTCACTTTCTTAATATGCATGGTAATATAATTAGTATCCTCTCTGACAGTCTTTGAGAAAAGTAAATATGCTTAGACAGAATGTCTGGATGATTTAATGCATCCACCATTTCCCTTAGTGCTTTGGATACACTAGATTGACTGAGCCCATGTAAATAACCCATGCCAATATGTTTCTGACAGGAACCAACGGCCAGCACCAGAAGTGCTGCTAATACCTAAAACCAATATGTTTCTATACTGTGGTAAGAAGGTGCAAGTAAGCTTATTTGATAATCATTATGAACTTCAAGTCATAGATACTGAAAAATACGACGTAGGCGAGAAGTTTGAACGTGCATTCTTTCGCTTTCCAATGCTTCCATAGGTAAATATGCACGAGCCATCCAGATAATCAAAATTGCTGAAAATACAAATTGGTAGCATACAGTCACTTCTTAGACTCGTCCAGCTATTTTATTCCTTATTTGAACTTGTTATACTTATCTTTCTTGTTAAAAAAATGAATAGTTTTGACAAATTTATCCAAACAAAACACTAGCAACCGATTAGCGACCGACTAGTCGACTACCACTGAGCAGTTGTTAATTTGATAGTTCATATCGCTAGTGAGTTGCTGTTGGGTCGCTGTCAATGAGTTAGGGAATACCAATTTTTTGATACTCCTTACAGAAGAATGCACTTTTCGTTCACCAGTTGCTCCATAGAGGCGCCACCATAGGCGGTCGCCGATTGAGACGCGCTGAATGATACATAATACGAAATTTGCGTTTGACAGCAACTATCGACCAACTCGAGTCGGTTGTCGGTCGGTTGGAAGTTAGGTAATAAGCCTGCGGAAACATTTTCCATACTACGAGAATGGTTTGAATCCAGTGGAGCAGTGGAATATAGTAAAAAATGTATAAATAATCCAAGTGTCACCAATGAGACGAATTAGTTGGAGGTTCTATTAAAATTGCAGGTTCATTTAGATGCACGGCAAATTGGAGCAGAAACTGATATATGCAGAACTTCTGTCCAAAGGATTATTCAAAAGCATATGTACCATCCATATCACCTATGCTTGCATCAAGGACTTCGCCCTCAGGATGTCGCAGCTCGAATGGGGTTTAGTAGAATAATGCAAAATAAAGTGAGTGAAGACACTACTTTCCTGGATAAGGTTCTTTTTACCGATGAGGCAACAGGCAACTTTTAAAAGCATATGTGTTGTCAACAGGCATGAGATGCACTATTATGGGACGGAAAACCCTTACTGGGTTAGGCAAATAAATTTCCAAAATAAATGGAGCTTGAATATGTGGGGAGAAGTTATTGACAGACGAGTTATCGGGCCTTTCTTTTTCGACAACAGATTAACAGGTACAGAATACTTGAATTTTTTGATCGAGCATTTGCCTTTGCTTTTGGATGATGTCGACCTGCAAACTCGGATGCATATGTACTTCCAACATAATGGCGGACCTGCGCACTATCATAATCATTTGCGTAACTATTTAGACACCTGGAGTAACAATTGTTGGATCGGTCGTGATAGGCCTATATCTTGGCCTCCTAGACCACCGGATATGAAACCGGTACTTCTTTCTATGGGGCTACGTTAAGCAAGAGGTTTATAGATATCCACCATCTACCCCGGAAAATATGAAGGAAAGGATTAAGGATGCTTTTGTGAGCGTACGGGAACACATGCTGAGGGATGTGCAACACTCATTTATCCAAAGACTACGGCTGTGTTTTCAACACGGTGGAGATATTTTCGAGCATGTTTGTAGATTAGATCTTGAGTAGTGATAGTTGTTTGTTTATGTTGTCGTTATAGTTGTTTTTCTCTATTACGCTTGAAGCTGATTTATACTGTTCTGATGCTTATTAGTTTTTACGTCAAATCTGTACTCTTAGTGGCAATATGGAACTAGCCCACAGTTTGTCTTTTGTTTCCATGGACGATGTGGTTCTATTCCTTAATTTATGTGCGTTCTTCTATTAAAAGCTTAATAATTCGAAACCTAGTGAATTTAGCTGAATCAAAACTTATATAAAAAAAAAGTTTATAAAAAAGTGAATCCAAACTTGCACAAATATATAGGGTGATGCATTTTAAATTTTTGAGAAAAAGTACAATTCCCGTTTTTGACCACCCTGTATGAGCAAAAATGGAATTTCGAAAAAGTAACAAATAAGATAAAAGCTGAAGCGTGTAAGTTTTTTTTGATATAAAATTCAGCACTCCAATTTCAAAAAGGCGGATTGAGGGGTTGCTGAAACGGACGGTTTCTGGACAAAACACATCTCAGTAGCAAATTACCAAAACCCCATAGTATTTCATATCAATCGCCTTCTTTTGAGTTGGTTTATCCAAATATTCAATAAAATTTGAGGCATTCCATTTAATCAATCACAACTGCAATATTGGTCAAAATTGGGACACCCTGTATAATTGCCGATATTTTAGAAATTTTCCCTCAAGTGCCATGTACAAAATGTCATAAGCAGATTTTCAAAAAATGTATTTATTTATGAGCAATATTCCGTCCACACATGGATGGGCCACCCTGTATATCCCCACTTTACAAAACCGCTCGTTGCAGCGTATCGCTTCGTGATCTTTCACGCGTACAGTGGTGTTTATGTTTGTGCACAACTTCAAAATCGATCTTTGTGAATATAGACGTAAGTAAACATAATTTTATTCTGTTTTTTATGTAAGTTTATTGCGAAAATGTTTCGTTAGATATATCATATGATACTTTGATAGAATACGAAATATATTGCCTTCGGCACGTAATGCTTGCTAAAGTATCACCGATGATACTTTGGGTCGCTGCTTTCACATTCCATTTTTTTCTCAGGTATCATTGGAGATACTTTGGGTCTGTAGTTATACAGACCCCTATCTAGTTTTTCTGGGAAAACAATTGTTTCTGACTTTTTAGGACATCTGACACTCAAAGAATCATATTCCACAATCTGATAGCGACTGGGATTCTTCAGATCATGAGGCTCTTGCACGGTTAGTTCCGGCTTCATCAAAAAGATGTATCAGGAAAAGTCAGTTTCAGTCAGTTAAAAATTCACATCCAGTAACTACTGAGTTTGTCTATGAGAAAGATTCCTATAAACTAATAATGGGTGATTTTTTTGCTAGTATCTTTTTGGCAACACTGTTTTTGACAGATGACGCGTGAATCGTGTCTTGTGTCATTGTCAAACTTGTTCAGTCTGGTATATAATTTAACTATGAATCGACTTACCAACGAACAACGCTTGCAAATTATTGAATTTTACTAGTAAATGCTCGGTTAAGAGAGTGCATCGAGCACTGCTTCCAATTTATGGGCAATTTGGTCGGCCTACCGAGGGAGCTATTCGGAAGCTTGTGACTGAATTTCGAACCCAGTTTACATTATTGGACATTAAACCACCAACACGCAGACGTAGAGTGAGGACTGAAGAAAATATTGCGGCTGTATCCGCCAGTGTTAGTGATGACCGTGAAATGTCGATTCGCCGCCGTTCTCAGCAATTGGGCCTCTGTTACTCCACTACGTGGAAAATTTTGCGTCAGGATTTGGGTGTAAAACCTTATAAGATACAGCTGGTGCAAGAATTGAAGCCACACGACCTCCCACAACGTTTCCAATTTGGTGAATGGCCGCTGGCAAAGTTGGAGAAAGATCCACATATTTATCGAAAAATTGTGTTCAGCGACGAAGCTCATTTCTGGTTGAATGGGTACGTTAACAAGCAAAATTGCCGCATTTGGAGTGAAGACCAGCCAGAAGCGTTGCAAGAGCTACCAATGCATCCCGAAAGAATCACTGTTTGGTGTGGATTATGGGCCGGTGGCATCATCGGGCCGTACTTCTTCAAAGACGACAATGGCCGGAACGTAACTGTGAATGACGAGCGCTACCGTGCGACGATAACAAACTTTTTTGCCCAAAAGGGAAGAGCTGGACTTGTTTGACATGTGGTTTCAACAAGACGGTGTCACATGCCACACTGCACACGAAACAATGGCCCTATTGAGAGGCGAGTTCGGTGAACAGATTATCTCACGTTTGGGGTCCGTCCATTGGCCGCCTATATCGTGTGATTTAACGCCGTTGGACTATTTCTTGTGGGCCCATGTTAGGGCTAATGTCTACAGGGATAAACCAGCAATGATTGATGCACTGAAAGCCAATATTAAAGCATTTATTCGTGAGATACCGGCCGATATGTTGGAGAGAGTGTACCAAAATTGGACCTTGCGCATGGGCCATCTAAAGCGGAGCCGCGGCCAACATTTACATAAAATAATCTTTAAACATTAAATTATATCGACCATTCTATCGTTTTTTCAAATTTTTTGTGTTTTTTTTTTGAAAATCAAATGCTATACCTCTTAAAAAATCACCCGTTATTTCATAAAGTACATTGATTCCCAGTTTTTTGAGGACATTGTTTACTAACATGAGAGAGGTTAGCAGAACAGGACAGTCGCTAGATACTTCGACTACGGAAATTAAAAGACTGTTTTGATGTTCAATGTTAATTGGGATATACGTTTTGTCTCGAATGCGCATGTACTGTCCTTAGATACTAGGGTTCCTTTGTCTGCAGACGGCATAACATGAAATCGTTTCTTCATATTGCGATCACGATTGAATGTTGTGGATGAAAATATAATTACAAATGATATGAAAAGCCTAGACAGGTTCTGGAAGGTCTTCTTGATATGGTTCAGAGAGGATGTCGCTTGAATAGGAGACCTAATGAAATTTCTATCGATGAACAAATGATACCTTTTCACGGTCATGTTTTGATGGGGCAGTTTGTCCGAGGTAAGCCCAATCCAGTGGGCTTGAAGAATTTTTTAATGGAGACAACAACTGGCATTCCACTTGACATTTACCTATATGAAAGGAAGGGTTCATCAGTAGAATCTGTATTGCCGACCACTCCCGAAAAGCTAGATGGAGGAGGAAGAACGGTACTCATATTGACAGATACCCTTCCAATACGCGTTTCTGTATTTACGGACCGATATTTTACATCCATACCACTAATCGATACACTATTATCTCGCCACATTAGTCTAGCTGGGACACTTATGGCGAGCAGATTACAAAAAGGGCAAATTTTCTAACAGATTCGAAATTAAAGAAGATTGGAAGAGGATCATCCAATCAACTGGTCCGTGAAGATGACAAAATCAGCATTGGCACCAGCATGGCTTGATAATACACCTGTATGTCTTGCATCTTATTTTTGTGCCGTTGAACCAGAGGGAGTCTGCAAGAAATGGTCTAAAGCTGAAGATAGGCACATTGAAATCAAACACCCTGCAATTGTTAAGGAGTACAATGGAGTAATAGGAAAATTTTCAATGCGGAAGAGAACGAAGAACTGGACAGTTCGTACGATATTCAATTTCATCGCTTTTGCTGTAGCAGCTGGGTGGTTGGAATATCGACAAGATGCCAATTCTACTGGATTAGCAAAGAAAAATACCATCGATTACTTGGATTTCAAGTTGTCTATAGCCAAAACGCTTGTGCTGAAAACCGAGGAGCTGGACGAAATGGAAGATGAATAAATAGGAGGGTTATACGTCAAGGGAGTGATCACCTGGGGGAATTCATAAAACACAAACAAAAATCTAGATCAAAATGTCGGTTTCCAGGTTGCGACAAACATTTGCTAGATGTATATTATGTGACTTTTATTTATGTTGCAGTGTTGAAATAAACTGCTTTTTGTCATTCCATCAATGAGGTTCTTTTGTGTTAATTCAGGCCCAAAGTATCTCATTTGACACCTCCGTATTTTTACAAAAATAAAAGAAAACCTTCAACAAAAAGATATCTTGTTTTCTTGAGTTACATTAATCCGAAAAAAGGAATGCTTGTATAAGAAATCTCGTATTATCTTCTTGTGTCCGAGGAGGATAACAATGACCCTGTATCCGAGGTATGAGATCTGTCAAAATAAGACAGCACAAAGCGCCATCCATTTCCATAATCGACGTCTGTGGGAGTATGCAGTAGATATGGGTTTGAACTATGAATATCTTAGCTCGCGTTTGATAGCCCAGACACCACCGTGACCGACATAGAAAGTTACATTTTCCCCTTAGGTAAATATATTATAATATGTATCCGTTGTTCAATTACAAATTTTTGATGTGCGTGGTGAGATGTATCGGGCATAATTGTCATCATAAGTACAATAGTCATAATCGGGCGTTGACGAATCTGAGAATGGTATATTAGGAAGGTGAAAAGTTGAGAAGCTTAGAAACCTTTAAAAGAGTCCCTTGACAGTTTGTGTTGCCGGACGTTGGGCAATGTTAGATATGCTATATTCCAAAGTCTAATAAAATCAATCAGTGAACAACACTTGTCTTATGCTATCATATATGAATAAATACAAAGTTAATCTAACAAGTTTATTTAAGGGCTGTCAATCTAACTATAGTAGAAAATGTTTATACAGGGTGCCCAAAATAGACGGAAATATTTTAGAGAGTGATTCCTTGTTAAAAAATATAAAAAAAAATTCTCATATACATGGGTCTGGAAATTCAGAGTTTCAAAGAAAAATGATTTTTTTATTAATATCTTGAAAAATCTCATTCAGCTAAACTTTGGCAATATTATTTATTGTACCAAGAGCCCTGAATAGACTAAAATTAAGACCAGCGGCGTCTCGAGGCGAATATTATTGGCGAAAGAATGTACGCCACTGCCTTTTTAATATTTGTTGTTTGATTAAGCATCTAAAAGTACAGCTTCTTCACCTCTTGTATTTTTTTCATATGTCACCCCGTTTTCAGGTAAAAAAAAATAAAAACCGTTTTATTGCATGTCGCTGGACAAAATTGTATTATTAATTTTTGCTAAAAAAATACAAATGCCTTTGAAAACAAAAAGTCAGAAAAATCATGGGAAAGAGTGTTACTGCAACCTTTCTAAAAGGTATCATCACATAAAGTACACTACAACATATACTAAGTGGCATATAAATCCGAACACCCAGTTTAAATGGTTTTACTTTAATAAAATTTTGTATAAGTACCTAATGAAGCATAATAAGAAAATGATGATGATGAAAAATTTCAATATGATTGCACTGCTTTAAAGCCCTTTGACCTTTAATAATGTGTGAATGCACCCTGATGTGCTACGCATTCTCCAACGCGCCTAGGCATGCTTCTGATCAGGTGGTCAATGTCCTCCTGTGGTATCTCATTCCAGGCAACCACCAACTCCTCTCGAAGTGCTTCTAGAGTCTGAGGAGGACGTTGCAAATTGAGCAATCTCCTACCCATCATATCCCACACATGCTCAATTGGGGATAAGTCGGGAGATCTTGGTGGCCATGGTAACAATGTGACATCATTATGTTGAAAGAAGTCTATTGTGACTCTTGCAACATGTGGTCGGGCATTATCTTGTTGGAAAGTTGGATCCGCCAGGGTGTCAAGATAGGGTAAAAGATGGGGTTCTAGAACTTCGTGGATATAACGCTGCGCATTCATGTTACCTCTGATGAAGATTAAAGGTGACCTGGAACCATAAGTTATAGCACCCCAAACCATAACTCCAACAGTGTGATGAACATGTCTTTCAACAAAAAACTGTGGATTCCTCCTTTCACCACGTCGCCTTCTAACCCTGGCACGACCATCGTGCATGCCTAAACAAAATCGAGACTCGTCACTAAAGACAATACTGTTCCATTCCTGATCCCAGAGTGACCGTTGTCTGCACCACTCAAGGCGATTACGTCGGTGTTCTCGAGTTAAAGGGAGGACCCAGTGTGGCCGGTATGAAAACAAGCCAAAACTTCTCATTCGTCATATCTTAAAAACTCTACATTTCCGGTTCGTAGAAACTTTTTTTCGTATTTTTTAACAAGGAATCACCCTCCAAAATATCTCCGTCTGTTGTTCGAACACTCTGCATCAACGTATATGCAACTGATACAGCTACTACGAAGCAGATATATTACATAATTAGTAATATTCCATCGGATTGCTTTTCAGTAGATGCATATTCGCCTGTTTCCACTGACTAGGCCAATACCGTACTGACTATTACAAAAAAGTATTAAATAGCATTAACGTTTATGGCTGCAGAGACGGAAAACAACCAGATCCCATCCAGTTCATTCGAATGATAACAAATTAATTGCACCACATTTTTCAACATCCGATTGCAAATTCTCTGCATCACATTCTAATCCCAATTTTCAGCAGGATTGGAATTCTAAAAACTAATCGTAAAAACGTCACGTTACTTGGAGCTCGCTGCGGAGTAAGATCGTTTGAGTTAGGTGGCATCGCAAAACTTTGATTAAAATCTACGAAGGTCTACTCTGGGATAGAGGAAGATTTTTTACTTTCATCTCGATTCTTTTAGCTGGAACTTTAACGACAGCCAAGTTACTCTACATCGCAAATGGGAAATATAAATTGAGTGTCCGATTTTGTTAATTTTTTTAACAGGTTCTCCTTACAATAAAGTACAAAAGCTAGTATGTAGGTTGGACTTACAGAGTAATGTAACAAAATATGTTTCGTCATTCAAAATTACATTAATGTTTGTTAAGTATACACGGATTGGTCACCCTTCAATCGGTGCTCAGTCCTGACCAGTTCCACCTTTGCTATTTTTGTGGATAAATTAGAGAGTATAAACGCATTTTTTGGTTGAAGCAGTCACAGCAAAAACCCGATAAGTCACACAGTGAACTTCTCAGAATACTATGAAAACATTTATGGCTTTTGACTTCCCTGCCGATACATACTCGTATGTGTCTCAAGTTTTTGTCACGTACGAAAACTATTTTTTGTATTACTTTATCATCGCCACGGGGATAATGATTTTTAACCATCCATTTATCAGACTATAATCATTATCCTTATTGGGATCGACCGTCGGTCGTAGACCGCATACAACTTCTATACGTGTGAATAATACGTAATTTTGTGATGAGCAGCTATTCATATCTTTTTCGAAATCCACAATCCTAACCAAAAAACAAAATTTTATACAGTTCGCACCATATTTTGTCACGAAAAAGAACTTCAATATCCCTCAAATTTAAGGAATTGTGCTTTTTCAGGTCTAATCATGAACACCCAATTTTGAGTTTACAATAAAACCATTTTTAGGTCATTGTACGAGTACAACCATTTTTCAATAAAGCGCAAAGCTACACTATTTCCAAAAATGAACTTATTTTACGAAAATGCATTTTATTGTTTTGATTCTGCATCACCAAACCTCTTCTCCTCAAAACGTAGATCTTTTTTAGCATTACAATTTACATTAGCAAGAAACGTGATTTCAGGATTATCATAAAGCTCATAACTTTAAACTTTCCAGAATAAGTCAAAGTGGCTTCAGGTGACAGTCCAAACGATGAAACAAAAGAATATAATGAATGAAATATCTAGAACCTCTCCATCAGTTGCGACTAACATTGTTTGTTCAAGCTGGAGCACAAACAGAATAATTTCACAAAATACACGTTGCATTTGAGATAAAAATTCTAATACTCGCGTTCTAAATTAAACAGAATTTAAGAGCAGGTATGGCATGGAGCGTAATTAAGTTTAATGCTAGGAGCGCTCGGAAAGAGACACAATAAGCAGTTTTTGAAGGAGATGGTATCTTTCTTACAACATTTCGCTAAAAGCATTACTAGAGCTGAAGGTTGGATACCTACTGTCCCATCAACCTCCAAATATTTTTATCTGGGTCAAGCGAAAGAAAGAGACAACCTAAGGTGGTTTCAGTTATAATATACTGCTTCTAGTTAACCGATCCCAACAAAGTTGGCACTAGATTTTACTGATGATTCATTTGAGGTACATTTTGAGAAGGAAAAAGTATAGAAACAATCAACTTTATTAAGTTCTTATTATCCAAGAAAGAGTTGATTATTAATATTCAGTTTCTAAAGATTGATTCTTTTTTAATGTCGACTGAGACTATGCTCTTAAACATAACGGCGCGGTACTAGCTGAGGTAGGATATTGAGATTGTGGAACAATCTACATGGGGATTCTTTTCCTAGCTCAACTAACCTTAGGTAGTTGAAAAATCGGGTTAACAAAGTTTCTTCAAGCTCCTGCCTTAGCAGCTACTCCGGTGTAAAAAAACGCTTCATCGAAAATTGAAGCTCCAAAATGGCTACGTTAGACGCAGTGACGAACTGACCTGGAAGATGAAAGATCAAATAATGAATGTCATCGATACTTCTTTTGGTTAATATCAAAGATAATACGATAATGTTGATTGGTATTTTCTTTGTCCTTTTGAAAAACTATATTTTAATAAATCAGTTTCAGTTATAGTAGACGAGGAACGTTGATGTAATACAGTGAAAGCTCCCATAAGCGGACACTCACGGTTCCGTAACTTTTGTCCGCTTATGGGAGGTGTCCGTTTAAAAGAGAGTATGTAAGTATAGAGTATAAATAACGGGGTATACCTATAATCATGAGGAAATGAGGTATTATAATCATGAGAAAAATGAAACAGAAACTCGACACATTTTTAAAGTATGTATTTATGCTATATATCT